TCAACATAAGGCTGCAGCTTTAGTTGGTTGAGATATTTTTGGTGGTTGAGATTTTTGTTTTACAAGTTCCTCACCCTGGGTTTAATAGTGACCTTGCTTAGAACTTTTTTCACGTGGAAAACGTAAGCAGGGCACACGTTTCATTCCTGGCTGATCCATGTATGCCCTCACATCAGTGTGCAAAACATGCCTCTGCTTTATTATTATGTTTTCTCACCACCTCCACCTGGACTCAACAGCTACTTCCAGCTCATATGAGCTGCTGAAATCTAATTTCATCTTTGCTTTTGCCGAAAGCAAGAATCGAAGAGAGGGAATAAACCCAGAGCTCGTTTGCTGAACACCACTTTGTTGCCATCTGCAGCTCTGTGGAGGGAGCTTGAGCACAGGAGGCGGACAGGAAGCCAGCAGCTTTCCCTGGAAAAAAAAAGCCCTGTGTCCTCTGTGCTGCTCTTGCTGGCTGCTAGCTGGATTGGGAAAAAAACAAAATCCAACAACTCTCCTCCAAACCCCAAAGCTACTTTTGACAGTGATAAATCATTAGCTTGGAGCTGGTCTACAGCATGACAAAATCTGCTTGAGGAGGGGGGGAAATTACTGCAAGCCTTTCTCTTGACAAGTGTGTTAGATTTTGAAGGAGAAATTGTTGAGAAAAACAAAGAGTGAGAGAAAAGACTGTCAAACAGGGTTAAAAATAACAACCTGGGTATTATCTCCTGGCACAGGAGTGTCTGCATGGCTGCTGTGTTGGTGCCACGTCAGTCAGTTCTGTTTGTGGTGGAGGTTACTGTAAATTAAAGCTATAGGCTGGTAAACTGGAAAAAGAGAGAGATGATCCCGTGGGCCTGGGAATGGGTGATGAGGAGGGAAGTGTTGACACACAGTGGTTGACAGGTGACCAAGCACAGGGGGACCACAGGCACCAGCTGCCTGTGCTGGGGACATTCCCCTGGGAGGTGGCCTTGTGCTGCTGGGTGTCATGGGTTTGGAGCTGGTGGCATGGAAGGGAGCTCGGTACCACTGTGTGGGCTCATCCCCATCCTGCCCTGGGGGTCTGGCAGGGTCTGGGGAGTGCCCAGAGAGGGCTGAGGGCACTGTGGTGGCTGCACTGATGTGCTCTCTGTGCATCTCCCACAGAAATGTTTCTAATCTCTTTTTAGAGAGGGGACCTGAGGTAGAGACGCTCTCCCTGGGAGGTGGGCGTTGTGCTCTGCTGATGGTCCCTGTGCCCATCCTGTGCAGCTCAGGAGCTGCAGCTCCCAGCTCTTCTTCCAGTTATGGAAAACACCCACAGATATTGCAGATGGCTTCTGGCCAAGAGCTGTTGCTGGGACAGGCTGTTCGTAGTCTTGCTGTCTAACACAGCTCTTACCACCTGAAAATACCTGGCGGTCCAGACTCGTGCCTTGGAGGGGGCTAAACTGGGATGGAATTGACAGCCATGACTCCAGAGAGTCCATCTCAACAGTGACCTGCAGTGTCTGCCAAAGCCCTGCAGACTGGGGGAAAGGAGGGAGGCGAGTCAAGAGAAATAAAGTTGAATAAATATTTGCTCTGTGGCATCTACTGGAGAAATTCCTCCAGCAGGAAAACACACTGCAAATAAAGATACGCTGTGCTGCTGACTCTGTTTCCACTGCCAGACAGCTCAGCTTACTTTTGCCCCTTTGGGGATCTCAGGCATCCTTGAAAATCCATCCTAACCACTGTGTGGGGGATCCATTTGGTTGCAGGGAAACCAGTGGATGCTTGGAAGCAAAGCCATTTCCACCCAGTGCTCAAGGCTGCATTTGGAGGAGGAGAACCACGGGACATCAGACAGGGCTGCTCAAAAAGCCACCCAGGAAGAGTCATTAGGGCCTGGGCTAATTATAGTCTGGGTGGTGGTTGCAGGTTTGTGAAATAGGAAGTGTTCCTAGCTGCATGGCTGCTTTGCTCAGTGAAGAGGGTCTCGGTGGTGTGCAGGAGGGGATGCACCTGCAGTGCCTGTCTCTTGTGGGGAGAAGGGGATTGCAGGTGAGGAGGGCACAGGCTGGGCACTGAGGAGCTGCTGCCATCACACAGCACCAAATTACATCAATTAGACAAGCTCCAGTGATTCCCTGCCAGTGGTGTGGGGGGCTGGCCCCTCTCACAGATGTGTCTGTCACATACAGCCAGGACTGGCCCAGCCATGCTTGTGGGAGATGCTTGGTCTGGCGGGTGAGTCAGGTGTGGTGGCACCAGTGACAGCAGTGGCTGTGATTTCCTGTGATCTGATTTAGGCTGGTTATCTGCAGCACATTCTGTCTCCCTCCCTCATCAGGGGATTCATTAGATTTAATCTGTTAACACTGGTGAAGTTTCACTTCTCAGATGGTTAATTTCACCCACGAAAACTTTCTTTAGTTTCCTTAGTTTTGGAAGGAAGGTTTTAATTCCTGTCTTTGTGCTAGTCCAGGTTCCTCCCATGTAACCTCTGCTGTTGTTGTTTTGCACTGAGCAGAATGTTGAGTCATCTGCAGCCTCTGTGATAACTATAATTAGGAGAAAATGCATTTACAAAGCTCTTTCCTGTGATGCAAACACGTCATTGTCCTTGCAAGGAAATCATTCCTGCCATGCTTCCAGGTGGGTGTGAGCAGCTACTGATTACATTTGACACTCCTATTTCTTTGCATGGATTTTCCTAGCTGGATGTGCTGCCTGTGGAGGAGGTGGCAGTCTGAAGCCATCCTTACATTCTCCACTTGTTGTGAGCATAATCCCTACTGTTGTAATTAAACATAAAGGAAGAGAATATAGAATGGAGTACTAGTCAAAGAGAACATTGAGAGTGTGTCATACACCCAGAGATTTATTTAGTGCTTTAGAATAAAAATAAAAGCCAAGACAAAAAGATATCCCTGGAGTTTTGTCAGAACATCAGCTGGAGAGGAGGCTTCTCAAGAGAAATGGAGTAAAGACTCCTTGAGATGCTCAGGTCTTTTTCTCTCCCTCTTACACCTTACAGAGCCTTACAGGGTTTAGGATAAAGGAAGAACTGTTGATGTGGTATTAAAATGCTGCTTATCAGGATAACTGCAGGTTATTCTGAACACACCAGAATGACTGGAAAGACATTCTCAGCCCCACTCCAGTGAAAGCTAATAGAGGTCTCCCTTTGCTGCAGGGGAAAAGTACAATTTAGGAAACTATCTTGGTGGCTAAATAATAGAAAATACCTCCACACATCACTGGCTGCTGTGCTTTACTCTGTCACCTTGATTGTTGCAGGTTCAATAGCTCAAATTTATCAGTGCTGTGCTGTTGGAGACAACAGAGATTACAGCCCCAGACTGGCAACAGCCCATTTGGGCAGGGCAGGCAGGAGTTGGACCTGGTAGCATCCCATCCCTGAGGAATCTCTGGAAGGTTTTCCCTGGCTGGTTATCCCCACCTGCCCTCTGCCTTTGGTGGGGGACTTATACCCAAAACCTCCTATGTAATCCTGCTGGGGTTCCTCTGACCCAGACATGCAGTGTCCTGGAGCCTTTGATTTCCCTGTGCTTTTCTGTAGCAAGCTGGAGTCAGTGGAGCCACTGTTCCTGGAGTTGGCTGGGGCTGGTGGTTAAAAAACAGCCCACCTTTGGTTTTGCAGCAAATGGAGATATAATTGAAGATGGCTTCCTCTCAGGGCAAGCCCATGAGGGCCTTGGAGAGCATTTCCCAGCTGGTTGAAATGGCTGGGTGAGGTGAACCCCTGGTTACTCATTCCTCCAGCAAGCACAGGTGAGGTTTGCCAGCTTCTGTGTTACCTTGTGCACTCGTGTGTGTGCACACTAACAACGGTTCCAACCTTCTAAACACCGATTGAAACACTTCCAGTTCCTCCTGCCAGAGGTTAGCACTGAGCTGCTTATCTGCCTTGTCAGGAAACAGCAATAAATCCACCTCCAGCAGGTTCACCTGCCCGCCTGTTCTGCTTCTCATTGTTCCTTCACCTCTCCCCTGTGATGGCCCATTTACACCTTTATAAATGGCTTTGTGCTGTGTGGGATTAACCCATATTTATCATAATTCCAGTACAGAGAAATCAGCTCTCTGTTTGATATAAAAGGTGACCCGGGTTGTTTCCCACATGGGTGTGTTTAGCAGGGTGGAAAGCCCAGAGGTTACTGCCCTGGTACAGTGAATTCCTCTGGAGCAGAGTTAGCTCAGTGCTTTGTGCTCTGGCCTCTGGGCATAGAAATAATCAAATACAAATAGTACCAATAATGGGTGTTCTTACTCAGCTTTTAACTCTGTAATTCACTGCCAAAGGGGGGACCCAAAGTGGCATGGCTGAGGGAAGGCAGAAGGATTTACCTATACCTGGGCCTGATATTTGCAGCAAAATGTGTTTGTTTGCTCCAGAAGCAATCATTAACTTTCCTCTTACTTACTTCCAGCCCGTAAGGAGCCCTTTTCTTGAGGCTGAGAACTCATGCACCAGAAATATATATTCTGTTAACTTATTTTCACTCTTATTATCTAAAATTTCTTATCTGTCCGGGCTTAATTATTTTGCTTTTCTCTCTGAGCTCTTCAGACCCCTCAAGTCTTGTCTCTCTATAGAATTTCTGATATCTCTCCTTTTTAGGAAGGGTAACACACAGACCACCTCCCCTGAGGAGTGGGTAGAAATGCCAAATAACTAATGTTTGCTGCCAAGAGGTGTGTCTCATGCAGGCATTTCTAACCTCATGCCCTGACCTTTCCTTTGTCATCATTGTATTTTAAAGAGCAGTTTCTTGTTTGGTGGAGAAAAAGCAAACAAGCCAGGTTCCTTCCTGCCTTTCCCTCCATCCACAGCCAGTGATGTCCTAGCACCTTGCAGCCTATGGACAGACATTGCTGCTGGGGCTGTTTGGGATGAAGTTGGCATTGTTCCTAAAAGCAGATGGGATACACTCTGTGTCAGAACCGCTGTGCCCCGGGGGAGTTGTGCTGACCTTCATTTTATCCAGGCAGACTCGGCTTGCAAGGCCAGCCCGACCCCTAAATCCTGGCTGAGCATGGACCCACCAGGCCCAGCATCCCCCCTGCCCTTTCCCCACCTTGCTGTCCATCCCTGCAGGCCCGAGTCCCGTGTGTGGACGCTGATGCTGCTGCTGGGGACGTGCCTGCTGTACTGTGCCCGTGTCACCGTGCCCATCTGCGCCGTGGCCCTCAGCTCCCGCTTCGACTGGGACAAGAAGCAGTTCGGCGTCGTGCTCAGCAGCTTCTTCTGGGGCTACTGCTTGACACAGATTGTTGGAGGACACATTAGTGATCAGTACTGGAAATTATACTCATGTTTTCTTGTTTTAATGACACTTAGCTTGGCTTTGACCCCTCGGTTCCAGTGTGAGCTGTGGCAGAGCCAAGTTTCAGTGATGGGGTGGAGGGTCAAGTGTGTCCATGGGGAGAAGCTCTGGTTGAGAAGGGATGTGGGTAGTTTAGACTGTCCAAATAGAAGCTGTGGATGTCTCATCCCTGGAAGTGATTCCAGTATTCTGTGAATACAGCTTTTTCAATTTGATCTGCACTGGTGTAATTAAACATAAAGGAAGACAATATAGAATGGAGTACTAGTCAAAGAGAACATTGAGAGTGTGTCATACACCCAGAAATTTATTTAGTGCTTCAGAATAAAAATAAAAGAGAAAAAGATATCCCTGGAGTTTTGTCAGAACATCAGCTGGAGAGGAGGCTTCTCAAGAGAAATGGAGTAAAGACTCCTTGAGATGCTCAGGTCTTTTTCTCTCCCTCTTACACCTTGCAGAGCCATACAGGGTTTAGGATAAAGGAAGAACTGTTGATGTGGTATTAAAATGCTGCTTATCAGGATAACTGCAGGTTATTCTGAACACACCAGAATGACTGGAAAGTGAAAGCTCATAAAAGTCTTTGTTTTCAGTTCAGCACTTCAGTCTTTCTGCCCTATATTCTTTTGCAGTCTTTTCTCAAGCAAGTCCCCATGCACTGTTTCCATCATGTTTAGAAAAACTATCTCCATTGTGTCATATGAATTAAAAACCAAACATTTTCCCCAGCTGGCTGTAAGGGAGGTTCTGAATCATTACCTGCTTGAGTCCCTTTCCCCAGCCAATCTATTCTTACTGAGAAAGCTTTTTTATGCAATCTTTTGTGAGGAGCACATGCCTGGAAGGGATGCATTATCCTTGCAGTGCACTGTGCTATTTAATTAGGGTCCTTAAGAGTTCACAAGAAAACACCCAGAGCAACCTGAATGGGAAAAGGCAGAGCTGATGATGTAAAAGAGCAAATGGAAAACACCATCACTGGTTAAGAGAGGTAGAAAGGTGGCAGCAGTTGGGCTTCCCACCACCACCATCAGAGCCCTGAGTGGCTCCGTGCTGAGATCTCTGGGATCAGCTGGGGTTGGATGGGCAGTGCTGCCAGGAGGTGGGAAGGGAAAAGGTCAGAGCTCCTCCCCAAGGGCCAGGAGAAGAACAGGTTTGACCGAAAGGTTGCTCTTAAAAACAGGCTGGACTGGGAAGGGCACCTGAGTGTGGACTGGAGGATTTTGCCCTTTGGCCCTCCTGTCTTTGATAATGTGTTTTCTGTCTTCCAGAATAGGAGGTGAGAAGGTCCTTCTCCTTTCAGCATCAGCCTGGGGGTTGCTCACAGTCCTCACCCCATTGCTCACCCACATCACTTCAGCCCATCTGGTTTTTATGACCTCCTCCAGGTTCCTCATGGGGCTGCTGCAAGGTGAGAGCCCTGTCCTGAGTGTGTCTGTGTGTCTGTCTGTTCAGGAGCTTCCTTGTGCAGAGGCTCATGTGTAGCACATTGAGATGCAAGTCCCGTGGTTTGCAGGGCATGAGCCCTTCCCGTGGGTTCTGAGCAGTTCTCTGCCTCAAAACTGCCTCCACATCCACAACTTCCATGGGAAAAAACAGTGACATTTCTAGAGAAAGTCACTGACAAGTCATTCCCCTGTAGAAATCTCTCTGCCAGACAGAGGCTGCTGGCTTTGGAAAACATCTCTGGTCATGTTTGGTTTTCCACATTTTAAAAGTCCTTCAAAAAACTCCGAGAAAATTGGCCCTTGACAAAACTTTTGGATAATTTGGGGTGATTTTCCTTCCCTCTTTCCAAGCTGCAGCACTGGGAAGTGCATTGGCACTGATGGATTTACAGAAGCAGCAGTGATGATGAAACAAGATTACAGAGAAGGCACAAACAAACCTTTGATGGCAATGGATCCACTCAGTTTATTTTATATCCCTGTCTTGAATTCATCAAAGGCTTTCCTGCTTTGTCTCAGTGTTTAGCTCGCTCTGTATTGTTTAAATTTGCTTTTGTTTTGCCTTACTGCTCCCTGCCTTGCTCCTGTTTGTCTCAGGGGTTTATTTCCCATCCCTGGCCAGCCTGCTGTCCCAGAGGGTCCGGGAGAGCGAGCGAGCCTTCACCTACAGCACAGTGGGGACTGGATCACAGTTTGGGTGAGTTCAAAGGCCTTTGAGCAGCAAGTGACAGTCTCTGGACGTCAAATGTGATGAAATGCCATTAAATAGTTGGAGGCAAAACTCACAGCCCAAAGTACATGTGGATTCACAGGTCCTCAAGGACTCGGGCTGCAGCTGAGGAAGCCTCAGGCAGTTGCTGTCCTGCCTGCCAAGGATTTATGTGTTGTTTTCCTTTTCAAACCAGACTTTGAAGACTCTTTGCAACATTCAATTACTATGGGAAACAGCACAATTCAGTAGGAGGAGCAAGGGTTAGGCTGACACTTGTCACCTGTCCTCTCTGATAGATGAGAAGAATTCTCCACCTCTGCTGATGTCCATCAGAATTTCCTTTCTAAATGGAAGGGTTGCTTAAAAGCCAAATATAAATATCACTTAGTTTTGCAGTGTTCTCATTTCTTTTGCTGCTTTACCCATTCTCTGGGACACTGCACACCAGCAACCTCCTTTTCCTTCCTCAATGACCATTTTTCAGTGTGGGGCAGGTGAGGGTGAGGTCCCTTTGGGATTTCTCCTGCCAGTGAGGATCTGGCCTGAGATGCCACTCAGGGAATAGAACAGGTTGCAGAGCCATGGTGGGGCTGGTGGCAGCACCCACACATGCAGTGACTGAGAAATTCTCCCCTGTGAGGGTGGTGAGGCCCTGGCACAGGGTGCCCAGAGAAGCTGTGGCTGCCTCTGGATCCTCTGGCAGTGTCCAAGGCCAGGCTGCACAGGGCTTGGAGCAACCTGGGACAGTGGAAAGTGTCCCTGCCCATGGCAGGGGAAGGAACAAGATGAGCTTTAAGGTGCCTTCAACCCAAATCATTTTAGGATTCTGTGGTTCAGTGACACAGTGCTGACCCCAGGGAGAGTCTCCCATCGATGTGCTCAGCCTGAGCTCCCAGCCAGGCCAGTACATCTGAGTGGTTTCCCTTGCAGAACGTTGCTGATTGGTGGTGCAGGATCTCTCCTCCTGGACTGGTACGGCTGGGAAAGTGTTTTCTACTTCTCTGGTTTGCTCACTTTGCTCTGGGTTTACTGCACCTGCAAATACCTCCTGAGTGAGAAAGGTGAGTCCAGCAGCATCCCTGGGGCTGACAGAGCTCCTGGTTTTACACAAAGGCCTTTTGCTCAGATATGTTCTATAATACATGCTGTGTCTCACCCAAGATCCCCAACCCAAAAAGGAGGATTTGAGCTCTTGTAATGCTGATTTCCTATTTCAAGTCCCATGCTGGATTATATAATTGCTGAGAGCCTGATCTGGCTCCTCAGTACTCTTTAAGCACCAGTGAAAACACAAAACAGAGCATGATCTTCAAAGTGGATTAAGCTAAAGCAGGGCAAGATACTTACTCCAAACTAAGAGCATCTACACATAGAGCTTTTAAAAACCAGTTAATCCACAAAATCTCTTCCCAAATAACTGCCTAAGGAGTAATTCCACATATGGACAAACCATTACACCTTGCTACAGCATTATTAGGGTGAGTGTGGTATGTAGGAGCCCAGCTCACTGGGAGGTGGGTGTGTGCCTGGTGCTGCACAGAATCCAAACCCAGTTCCTGCCAAGGGACTTCTGTTTAATTATAAAAGAGATGTAACACATGGGTGAAGGTGGCTGGGTGGGGAGGGGTATGGAAAAATTTTGGTCATTGTAACAAGGTGTTTTCATGAACATTCTGTGCTGGTAGAGCCAAAAACCCAAGGGTTAGAAGGAGATTAAAAGTGGTTGTACAGCAGTGCCTCAGGGCTGTCTCAAGCTGCACAGGTAATTACTGACCACAGCTTTCCTTTGGATGTTTTATTCCCTGCAGAGCTCACCATCCCCATGAACTATTTAACGAGGGGCCTCTCGATACCCAAGCAGACCAAAGTTCCCTGGAAGCAGCTGTTTAGGAAAGCACCAATCTGGTAGGCAGCTGCATGCACTGGCCAGGCTGGGAGCATCCTCTGTTTTCTCCTCTCTGGGCTTATTTTTTCTGCCTCTGTGGTTTTTGTCTACTCATTTATATATTTGAGAAGCAGAACTAGTTTTGTGATTCCTTCTGTATAAAGAAAGAACTGAAAAGGTAAGCTTGGCAAAGGTGGTTTATGGGCTGTCCAGAGGACTGTCAGGCTCAAATTTACTGGCAAATCTTTCTTGTTCCCAGGCTGTTCCCCCTGGATGAATCCTCTGGAGTGATTTTTTCCAGGGGTGTTGTTAGAAATGCAGATTGTAATGGGCTCAGGGGCACTGGGTGGCACGGGCTGTGTTCTCATTGCTGGCAAACATCTTTTTAATGGCTGTTTTTCCTTTGGATGCTGCAGAAACTCATCCAAGCGGTTCCCAAGGGCTGTTTTGAGGTGGGGAGGAGGAGGATGCTGGGGCTGCAGGGCAGCAAACCCATTCCTGCCTTGAATAGCAATGGAGCTGATAACAAATCCCTAGAAAACCCTAAAGAACATCTCTCAGAGCAGGAGGGCTCCTGCAGGGCTGGAAGGGAGCAGTGGGAAATGCAGTGGCATAATTAGCCCTTCAATTAACCTGGTCTGGCCCCGGGGCTGTGAGTGGGGCAGGAGGGAACCAGCTGCTAGGAGAAAGCTGAAAGGAGTGGTTATCCATGACAAAAATCTCAGGGATTTCTGTTAGGAGCTGAAATGTGGAGTGCCCGTTTCCCAGCCAGCATGACCTGTCACTGCTGATTGTTTCCTCTCAGCTGTGTATTTTCAGGGCTGTCATCATCGCTCAGCTCTCCACGGCCAGCACCTTCTTCACCCTCCTCTCCTGGCTGCCAACTTTCTTTAAGGAAACTTTTCCCGAGTCAAAGGTAGGTTGGCTCCGAAGCAGAGGTGTTGCTGTTCTGAGGAGGCTGTGCTGGGTACCTGCCAAAAGGGCTTGGAGAGGGAGGAAGATGATGGCAGAGGGATTTGGTGAGGGCAGGAGGAGGTGAGAGGTTTCCCTGTGGGGTTAGGAGCTGTGGCATCCCTGCACGTACTTTTGGAGATCTCTGCAGGTTGCAGAGGCTGGATTCTAGTTGCTTGTTTAGGGATGCTGAGGGGTGCAGGGAAGAGCAGGTTGTATTGGGTTTTAGACTGCTTTTCTTCTGAGGAAAAGATAATTTTCAACTAGCACAAAGCTCATGACATTATGCTGTTGCAAATAACCACCACCATTCACCCTTAGTTTTTTACAGGGTTTTTTTTAGCTGGACTAACATTGTACAGCTCAGACCTGCCTGTGAAAATGATAATTACCATTAATTAGTGTACTTCAAAAATAGTACAAAAGCTTCCCTCTCCTCAGCACAAATGGTACTCCCATTTCTCAGAAAGCCAGGCAGTACTCATTTGGCTGAGAGCTGGTATTTTCTCAGAGACTCAGAGAGACTCAGCCTTCTCCACAATGGCTCTGTTAGGTTTTTACAATTTCCAGAGCTGCTTACAAATGCCTTTTCATATTACATATGTAAAGCTCTTTATGGCATACTTGATATTTATATTAAAATCATGTGTTAAACCAGCAAACATATTGTTGTGACAAGATCTGTGCACCTCGAGTAATGTGCTTGTGCAGCAGTAATTTACCATCTGTTAGGCATTATATCATGGTGCCCTTATGTAAGATGCTCTATGGAGTGCTCCTGCAGCTGATAATCGCTTCGTGCTGCTTGCAAGGGGGGCTGAGGCTGCTTCATTTTAAAGGATGGATGATAATCCCTAATGTGGGGAACCTGTGGCACCTGCTGGCCAAAATCCCTTGCTGCAGGTGAGCTGGGCAGCTGCCTGTGGCCACCTGAGTGAGGCTGATGGAGGGTTTGGCTCAGGGTGATGGGCTGTGGGATGAGACAAGGTTGGGGTGGATGTGCTGAGCAGCCCCAGCTGCTGTTAGCAGACAGCAGAAGCACCACCCCACAAAGCCCATGGGCTAACGTTGTCAAAAATGACCCAGACCCAAATTTCAAAGGCAAGGAAAGATGCAGGTGGACCCCTCCTGGATTTCCAGGAGCAGCTTTAACAGGATTACTCAAAAAACAAGATTATTGAGCCCTCCCATGCATGGTGAAGCCAGACAGGAGGGGGAGATGGGCTCTGAGCAATGGGGGTGATGGATGCATGGATGGATGAGTAGGTTCAACCAGCTGAGATGAAATCCAGCCCAGCCCACACTGATTTCAGCTCCTGTGGGATCTGGGCACCAAAGTGCCCCTGAGCAGCTGTAATCCAGCTGACCACAAATCGTCTGTGATTACAGCTGCAGCTCACTTAATTGAAAATAGGCCGAAGGATGTTGCTGCCCATAAGGTTACCTAATCCTGCCATTAGAAAATCCAGCTCTGCTCCCTCAGCCTCACACAGTAACGCTGCTAATCACCTGGAAGCTGCTGGAAATTTTGCCAGCAGCTTTGCTGGGGACCCACAGGAAACCCACGCTGAGCTTCCCAGGGCTCTGTGGCTCACCGCCACATCATCTCACTGAGCAGTAAATCTTGCCACGTTTAATCCCTCTTTCCCAAAGTTTTCTGCCTCTCCCCTGGATAGAGCATTGCTGGGGAAGAAGGGAAGACAGCAAATCTACAAATGCTGCAGCCCTGTGATGCACCTGCTCCCTCATAGAGCTGGGAGTGGTGCAGCTGAGAGCTGGCTCTGCAAAGGGGGTAGAGGTGCTGCAACAAGTCCTGAGTACTTCATTATTTCTCCTTTCTACAGGTACCACAGACTGTCAAAATATTTGCAAACAATCTCAGCTCTGACAATAAATCTCTCTTGATTTTCACTTCTTTTCAGGGTTGGGTGTTTAATGTGGTTCCCTGGCTGGTTGCAATTCCAACGAGCTTGTTCAGTGGATTTCTGTCTGATCATTTAATCAGTCAAGGTGAGAGTTCTTTATGGCTTTTTCTCGAAAAAGGAATCTTATGTGGTGTGGGAAGAGGACCTGGGTGGGAGGAGGTGGGTTTGTTGGTAGGGAGAAGATCCAGCAAACAGACATTGTGAGGTTCTGGTACAAAAGCAGAACAAATTCTCCTGTGTCCAAATCCCATCCAAGTGTTTGGGGCTCCCTTTGACTTCATTCATAACACCCACCTGGAGATGGAATCTGGGCATCTGAAATCTACTTTTTAGTTTCCTGGCTGGACAACAAAGTGAGCTGTGCTTAACTCCAAGTGTCCCTTTCTTCTCCAGGGTACAGAACCATCACCATTCGTAAGTTCATGCAGGTAAGAGAGCTGAAGCTGTGGGAGGTACCTGAATTACCAGCTAAACTCTGATTACATGGCAGACTAGACCTTGTATGGAGCTGGGTTGGGGGTTATAGATGGAAACAGGAAAGATTTTCTGGCTTTGCACTCTAACTGATGGTCAGGACATGTGAAAGGAAATCCAGAGGAAAACCCTGGTGAGGAGCAGAGCCTGGATCATTGAGCACAGTGAAGGTAGCATTGAACACTCTGAAGGAGTTTTCTTTCACAGCCTGTCCCTGGTCATTCCAAATGATCCCTTAGGTACTGAGGAAGCAGCAGTACAAGGGTGAACAGAAAGAGAAATGCTGGGTTAGAGCACAGTGTATCCTCTGATCTGCAGCATCACATCCCTCTGGACAGACCTCTGACACAAAAACATTGAGGGGGGAAAAAAGAGGAGCACAGGGTGCACACAAACTCACACCACTGGAAAAGGGAACAGTTTGTTTGTGGCAGGAGTTGCTTTGTTCCTTACAGAAACGTGCTGTGGTGTTTCATTTTCCCTTTTTTCCAGGTCATTGGCTCTGGTCTCTCAAGCATTTTTGCTTTGTGCCTGGGCCAGACCTCCAGTTTCTGCAAAGCAATAGTGTTTGCCTCAGCCTCTGTTGGACTGCAGACCTTTAACCACAGGTAAGGAGAACCATGGGGACAGTGGCCCCAGCTCCCCTGCACATCTGGGGTCTCAGAGGAGGCTGCCTCCATCCTGGCACTTGCCTGAGCATTGTGTTTGGGAGCCTGTGAGGCTGGTGGAGTTTAGTGCCCTGGGGTTTGGAAATAATCCAGCAAACTTCTGGTATGGAAGGGCTTGGACCAGCCAGTGTGAGGGACATGGAGCAGGAGGGGAATTCCATTGTGGCCCCTCTGAACACTTTGAGTTGAATTGTTTTCCTTCTGATACTCACCTGCTTTATTTTCAGCATCTCCCTTCTCCTGCCAGTGCCATTTCTGGTCCAGGACCTTTCCTTGTGTTTGACAAAGCAAAGTGTGTAAAGGATGGAAAAGCAGTCATGTTCCATTCAGCAGCCATTTATTTTGCCCCCTCTGTTTCTTACCAGTGGCATTTCAGTAAACGTGCAGGACCTGGCCCCCTCGTGTGCTGGCTTGCTGTTTGGTAAGGATTCTGTGGGGTTTCTGTGCTGGAGAGGTGGCATCTCTTGGGGGGACCTGGTCACCAGCAGCAGGATTTGAGCAGGAGCAGCTCTGGGCAGTGTCTGTTCCTTGTGTGCAGCCCCAGTTTCCTTCTGTGATGAACCTGCCAGTGCTGGGGGCAGGTAGCACAACCAAGGAGCCTTTTTTATATCTGTGAGGTGTTCTGCTGCACCCAGGGATGGGCTGGGGCTGTGGCAGTGCTCTCTGCCAGTTGTCCAGAGAAGCTGTGGCTGCCCCATCCCTGGAAGTGTCCAAGGCCAGGCTGGATGGGGCTTGGAGCAGGGCTAGTGGAAGGTGTCCCTGCCCATAGCAGGAGGATGGAATGAGATGAGCTTTAAGGTCCATCCCTGCTCAAACCAGTCAGTGATTCCATGATCAGAAAGGCATTTTGCCCAACATGCGGACTGGGGGTTGGTGGGAGCTGTGATAAAATGGCTCATATTTCTGGGTTTTCACAATTTCTTTTCACACTTTTTCTTTCCAGGGGTTGCAAATACAGGTGGAGCCCTCCTAGGTAAAGTACTTTCCTGCAGCTCATCCTTTCCTGTGGAGAGCAGGATCCAGCCCAGAGCCTTTGCATGTGTTTCTCTTCTCTGCAGGTGTCATTTGTGTGTACCTGGCTGGATACCTGATCGAGACCACTGGCTCCTGGATTTCTGTTTTCAACCTGGTGGCTGCTGTGAACAGCATTGGGCTCTGCACATTCCTCCTCTTTGGAGAGGCCCAGAGAGTGGACACAGACTCTGTGTATGTGGATCTTTAGGGATGAGCCCAAGAAGCAGCTGAAGGACAGGAGGATGTCACATCTATGGGTCATTCTTGCACAAGTGCCAAAGAACGTTTTACTTTTCTTTTTTAGATGTTTTAAAAGGAAAAAAAAAATATGCTGAAACCAAGTACATAATGGGTCTGGATGAGACCTGTGGGAGAAAAGAAATTTAGAGTTCATTTTTTTGCTCAGGGCTGTAGCTGGTGGCTTGCAGAGCCACCCAGCTCAATGTCTCCAGTGAGGATTGGGTCTGTGGGACCAGTTTGTCCCAGTCTGTGTCTCATGGACAAATATCCTTGTGGCCAAAGCAGCTGACCTGGCCTGTCTCTCAAGGCTGCTGTGGATCCATGGCCTCTTGGGGGGAGCTGCTTCTCCATGTGGGAGTGGGGCTCCCATGCTCTGCTGTCCTGGGACCACCTGGCTCTGGGGCTGCTTGGCCACCAGGCGTCCTCTGAGGTGTGACAGGAACATCCCAACCAGTACCTCTGCTCTTCATCCCCATCCTCTGAGGTGTGACAGGAACATCCCAACCAGTACCTCTGCTCTTCACCCCCATCCTCTGAGGTGTGACAGGAACATCCCAACCAGTACCTCTGCTCTTCATCCCCATCCTCTGAGGTGTGACAGGAACATCCCAACCAGTACCTCTGCTCTTCACCCCCGCGCGTGCCTTCGTTCTGCAGCAGGAGCCAGCTGTGTTTCCAGGGCTGTGAGGTGAATTCCAGGCCTCTCCTTAGGGGATGTGTGGCTGGATGTGTGCCCTGGACCCAGGGCCATGGGGCTGTGTCAGTGCTGCTGTCACGGGGCAGGGAGAGCACTCCAAGCCAAGCTTGGCTTTGTTCAAGGTCTCCCTTCTCTCCCTGGTGGCTTCACCCCAGCCCTGAGCCCAGGTGGAGCAGCTCCACCGTGAGAGCAGAGCTGAGCTGTCCCCTGGGGCCAGGCTTAGCTGGGCTGACCTTGCAGTGCAGCAGCAGCCGAGGATCCCTCTGTGGAGCTGTTTTGTCAAACGCTGTGAATGTGTGGGAAGAACTGGTCACACTCTGTGCTGTGGATCTACAACTCCCAAATGCTTTCTGCATGATTAGATGTGTCCTCCATGTGCTCTCAAAGGGCTGGGGGAGACTTTCCAAAGAGCTTGGCATGGGCAGGTTTTGTTTCTATGTTAAGCATAAATCAAATTCCTGCATTGGGCATCCATAGGGATGTGGATCCCTGTGGTTCCCTGTGTCACAGGGAAATACTTGGCTCTTGACACCTCTGAGTCTGAATGTCTTAAAGTTATTTATAAGTATTTTAAAATTTAAGCATCAAATCCTATATTTTATGTACTTGAGGCCTGATTCTGCATGCTTGTTTTGCGTGGCACCCCCACCAAATCCAATGCTGTTTCTCAGAGGGGAAAGCTCTACCAGCCTCTAGTGTTTGGTTCTGTAGGACCAGTTTCAAAGGTGAATTTAATATTAAAGCAATTCATTGCTTCTCCTCCAATTCCTTGACTGCAGCCTGAAAGGATCTCTTGGGTTTCTTTAGTGTTTACCAGAAAACTCAGGCTGAGGAGCAGGTTTCCCAAGGAGCTTGCAGTGCAGGAAAACTATAGATTCAGGGGAAAAACAATAAAAATCCCATTATCCTCTTCCTCACTTTTTTTTTTTTTGGCCAAATTTCTTCTTGGAAGACCTGTTTGGGCCATGTAAAATTTCTGAATAGGCTGATTTGTAGTGAAAATATTGACAGCCTTTTAATTGCAGAGACACTAATGGGCATCACTAAGCTCAACCACTTACTGGGCAGAGTTAGGGATAAGGATGCAACTGCCTGATGTCTTCCCAAGAGAATAAAGAATTATGTGGCCTGACTGGGGACAGAGAGATAAGAAAGTGTTTTATTTTTGTCCTTCTGTGCTCTTTTTTTCTCTAGAAGGCTGTTTGCTACCATAGGTACCACTCTTTATTGGGGTGCTGCAGAGCCAGGAATGCTGCTGGAAAGTCTTAAATCAGTGGGTAAATTGGGAAGAACACCCAGTAACAGCAAACACAAACACAGCCAGGCTTGCCAAAGAGGCCTGAGGCTGTGCAGCCATCTCTGTCAGCCTGTCCTTTGTCCAGTCTGAGCAGATTGCTTGCATGGCTTTTCTATAGTGACAGAATAAAAAAACAAGCCCATGGGATTTGTGGGGGTTGAGTATCTTCCCTGGCCATTCCATGCTGCAGGTCAGGAGCACAAGGAGTCGATTCTGGCTGTCTTTGCTGGTTGCAGCATTTCTTGTTGAGGAGTTGAAATGTCTCCCATTTGAATACAGCTGCTTGGCCACCCCTTGGATCTGCCAGCTGGGAAATTTGGAACTGATGTTCAAAGGAAAGGGTTTGGCTGTGTCTTCTCTGTGAGTCCAGCTAACATTCCAGTGAGCTGTCTGAGTTATCTGTCTCTGTAACTGGCTAATAAGGTAAATGTTTGACCTACACTCGAGGCATATGTTTCATTGTCATCATACCTCTTTGGTGAAGTATTGAAACTGTTTTGCATACCTGTACTATTATTTGTTTAGGCCAAAGCTTGTGGTCTGTGAGTTTTTGCTATGGAAGGACCTAAAAAAATAAAGGCAGTGAATAATTTGCAAACTCTGGTTTTCCTTTGGCTGCAGAGGTGTTATTTTGTGTGATCAGGGAGGGACTGAGGAGTATATTTGATGTGATTAACTCCCGGGGGAGGCTGTGCAGGGACAGTATCTGGGGTGGAAGATTTTCACAACATCCTCACGTGTACTTGTGCATCAGACTCAGAGTTCATCCAGCTACAGCTTCTCACTGATTTGGGAAAAATGAATGAAAAGCTGCCTTCAGCAAAGCTGTGGACAGTAAAGCACCAGCAGGCATGATCCAGTGTCACTTTTTGAGAGTAATGACACAAATGAAGTGATTCTAGGGTGAGGTGGGACACACCCCCAGGCAGATCGCCTTCCACATGGCAATCATGCTAGAAAAAAAAATAAAAACACATTTCCACCTTCTTACAAATCCTCGCTGATAGGTTCGAGCAGATGCCAACAGAGGGAGCTGCGAGATCTGGGATGTGGCAGCTCCTGGGTGGCCAGAGTGCTGAGCCCGGCACAGCTGGCACATCTGGCACAGCTGGTACATCTGGCACAGGTACCATGGCTAGTGTGGATGGTTTGGCTGGCACAGACTGACCCTGCCCACCTGCAGCCCTGGCTGGTGGCTGGAGCTGCCTCTGGGAGCCCCAGGATTTGCTGTCCCAGTGCTCCCTTTCATCCCTCACAGGGCAATTGCACAGTTATTGTAGGGAGGAAAAGTTTTGGACATGTTTTAAAAGGAGAAACAGCCATTAAGTGAATTTTAACACCTCAGCCCCAGGGTCATATGATCGAGAGAATATCTCTAAGTACTGTAGATTACTCTAATTTCCTCATCAATGTATTTAGAAAAAAAAACCCAACATGAAACTTGGTGGCATGACAATGATGCTGAGGATAGTTTAACAGAGTTCAGGTTATCTTCAACTTTCCCTGACTTTTTGCTCCCTTTACAGAGGTATCAAGAACCTCTGACATGCACATTTGAGCTTTTTTTGATCATTTAGGTGATTTAAAGCTTTTAAGCTCAAGGAGCCACAGACCCACCTTAAAGCCTGTCCTGCTCTTCTCCAACTGTGCAGATCCTGAGGGAAAAGAAGGGTTTGGTGTTTTCGTCTTTTTTTAAAAAAAAATATTTTCTCTCTTTTTTTTTTTCTTTCTTTCCTTTTCTCAGTCTTTTTTCAGTCACATTCCTTATATTGTCAGGGTCCCAGGTTGGATCTCAGCTTTCCTGCCTGCCCTGAGCAAGCAGGAACAGGCACAGTGCAAAAGGGCCTTAAAGGCTGATCAGGTACCTCATATTGCTGCTGGGGCTGGGTTTGTATTTAAATGGTTTGGGATATGTTCCATAGCTGGCTGGAGATCATTAGAAGGATCCTGTTTTATTGCAGTTTGCATAACACTAAATCAATAAACACATTCAAGCAGATGGAAAGCAAAACACAGGAGGAAAGTAGCACTATTTGGAGGAGGAAAGGGATAGCAAAGAGCACTCCTCACTGATAGTTTTGCCTGGAAAACACAAGCAGATGCTCTCACAGCAGAGACCTGATCTAACATCCACCTGGCAGCTCCCCAGGGCCAGGACATGCCCCAAAGACAGCAGCTCTCAAAGGGCACCCAGTCCTGTAACAAGCAAAATATCACCGTTTATTGCAGCTGTGACCTACTGCATGGCATGTAATGAGGAATTTTCCATTTCAAACTTTAATGCAATAATTAAGACATCCATTAAGGTCTTTACAGTTTGGCTGCTTGTAATTAAAAATGGGGTGATGGGGGGGAGCAATGGCAGGGGGTTGCAGTCCAGGGCATCAAGCTCCCACCAGCAGCTTCAAGTGCTCTCCTCTTTCTTCTCTGTTTGGTTTCTCTCTTCAAAACAATTTTTCTGGTTTTGTTTGTGAACTGTCTCCAGAGCGTGAAAAACACACGAAGAACAGTCTTACAGTTCCTACAAGTACAACTTGGGTTTAAAAAGGAGCTTTTACCTTCTACCAGCACCTCCAAAGTACCGATCCTCCTGCGGGGCAGTTTGTGGGGGCATCTCTGAGCACTGCCAGGGGTTTTGTGCTCCAGTTGGTTTCCAGACTGGTGTAGCTCCTGCTTACACAGTTCCTGGTGCAGGATTAAGGGTGGGGTAGGTTTTAATCCAATAATGGAATGAGATGAAACCCCCACATAAACCCACATCTTCCGAAGTGTCTCTGCTCCTGGGAGGCCAGAGTCCCATTATCCCGTAATTGGATTTGGCCCTCTAAAGCAGGACTGATATACTATAAAATTTTGTTCCTAAATCATCAGATTTTTTGCAAAGGATTAAGAAAAATTAATGATTTGACTGTGGAAGTAGCTGCCAGAAAAGCTTTGGCTGATCCCTTGAATCCCTTCCTGAATTGCTTTCCCCTGCTCTTTACAACTCCCAGGACATGGGTGACTCGCACTTGTGTCTCCAAACACAATGCTGGGCATGATCTTGTGCAGCTTTGACATTCACTGTTCTCTAAAAAACTGTTTTTCATTTCATCTCAAAGCAAAATGATTGCAATCCCATTTCCATGGAAGACAATGGAAATGTACATGTGTAGCAATTACCAGGAGAATTTCACACAAAGAATTAGCAACCTACTCGCGCATGTCCTGCATTCTCATTAAAGGCAAACTGTTTGTGGGTGACAGGGGATTTTCCTGTGCAACCATCTAGGCTCATTGCAGCTGTTAAATTCCTTTAATGTCGGGTTTTTTCACCCCTCTCCTACCAAGTTTCAGACAAACCCACTCATTTACAGCCTCTCCCATGTGTGAGCTACAGGTGGGGTGGATGTTCCATGAGTCTCATCCTCAGCCCTTCAGATGCTCAGAGCTGCTGTGGACCCTGGCTGGGCACAGGAGCCTTTCTATAATTTGCTTTAATTTTGCCCCAAAGGTGCCCACAAACCTGGTGTCACAGATTTCCTGGTCTCAGTCACCTTTGTTTGGTTTTGCTGCTGAGCCAACCCACTCCTCAGAGCCTGCAGATCTTCTCTGCCTCCTCCAGCATCCTCCCTCCAGCTCCTCCATTCCACAAAACCACTTGGCAGGTTTTGGGGAGCAGACAAGGCCCCCAAGTGTCCCCAGGCTCAGGGGAGGGAGGATGTGTCCTCTTATTTTGCATCCCAGACCCTGGTCAGTCACTGGTTATTTAGTGAAATAAACCCCCTGAACAAGAAGTATTACCAGCAGGAGCATAATCAGATATCAGAGAAGGGGTCTTCAGATGAGTAATTTATTGACATCTCTTATTTCATTTTATTTCAGCCCATCTGGGACACAATTGTGCTTTAGAAAGGGCTGGAGGCTGCAGTTCCCACTGCAGGAGCCACCTGGGCCAGCGAGAGCTCAGCGTAAACTCCTGTCCTTGCAATCTCATTGTACAGAAGCCTCTAAGTAGGACAGGCACTGCAACAAAGTGGTGACCTGAGAAATGTTTGCACAGCCCTGGGCTGTCCTTCCAGGAGGGCCAGGGCTGGTGGAACACGGGCTGCTCTGCACCTGGACAAGGTTTGGATCCAGGACCACCACAAACCCTTTCAGACTGGTGTCTGTTCTTTGGGGATTTTGTGCCTGGAGTTAGCTGGGAGTACAACATTTAAATTTTGCTTTAGCAAAAATCATCTTTATTACCCTTTTCAGGCAGGTTTAATGCAGAGCTAAAAACTGGAGCATGAGTAAAAAATTACATATTTTGGCAATTCCCAGGGCTGCAGTGTTTGCAGGTGAATTTTGACCATAAGAACGTGTCACTGCTCTCACCAAAGATACGGTTTTCTCTCTTTTCCTTAAGTGCAGTGCCAATTTTTTATCCTCTTCTGTTCATCCTCTCCCTCCTCCTCCTCCTTGGAGATTTCTGGATTAAAGAATAAAGCAGTGAATTGATTTCCTGAACGTGCATTAGAGAGGATTATTCCAGGAGATTCATCCGTGTTTGGTGGATTAATATTTCCAGGGAAGCAGCTCCAATCTCAGCCAATACTTCTCTCAACATAGCCTGAAACATTTTCTTTTTTCTTTTTCAGGCAAGAAGGAGCATTGGGAATGACAGGAGACAGAGAGCAAAAGTTCTCAGCACTGGTATTTGAGTTCTGGTATATTTTAAAACAACAGGATTTCTAATGTAAATATATGAAAAGTGATTTGTGTAAATTCTGCATTTTCATTACTCTAACAATAAAGAATAAAACCAGACACATGCTAGGCAGGCACAGAAGTCACTCCAGCACCAGGGAAACAGGGAGAAATCTCTGTGTAGCATCACTTGCCACCAGCAGCACCCTCTGAGAGAGGGGCACAGCATCCAAACCAAATGGGGCTGTGTCCAATTAATAAATTTGGCCTCTGTGCTCTACACAAACATAGCAGATCAAGGGCCTATTACACTGTAAGAGCAATCTGTGAAGTCTTACAGCAATGCACATCTCTGAATTATGCTTCAGAGGTAACAACTAAAGCAGCCCAAAGCTCCCTCCCTCCTGGTCTCTCTTGCACATGGAGGAGACACAGTTTATAATTGAGCAGAAGAGGCAAAACCTCTTCCCAGGAGAGGTGGAGGCGAGTCAGCCCCAAACCCTAATTGAGACCTCTGAGACCAGGCTTTAGGTGTCAAGCAGCTGGGCAAACAATGGTGGCTCCTCAGTGGTGCTTGGATAGATCAGCTGGGCTGCCCTTGCTGCTTTAGCAAGGTCTGGTGATGGCCAAAAGAGGGGAAGAATGAAATAAAAAATGCAGATGTTATGAGGCAGAGTAAAGGAAAACATTGTAGGGAAGGATCTTCATTGTCATGCTGCCCTCTGAGCCAAGGAAGCACTGGGTGTCATAGCCACACTCCTCTGAGAATGAAACCCTTGGATTCAAGAGCTGGTTTGATTTTTGCTTCCAGTCTCAGCCTAGGAGGACCAGAGCAGGAAACCATGAAGTGTCAAAGACAATCATCTACATGTCTGTGAGTTTGGGGAAGGAAACAGGGCCACTGCCTGGCTGAGTGCAAGTGGGACAAGCT